TACTGTTATGTACATCTCTACACGGATAGTCCGAGCGTTGGTTTTGACTGCGAGGTGCAAAAATTGTTTGCAAATCTGGTTTATTTTGCATGGAGTACCTTTCACAAAAAACTTATTTTGGCTGGTTGTCAATTTACTTAGTAGTGTGGATGTAAACTGAGAACATGCATTCCCGTCTTTTTTGTTCTCTGCACTGGATGCACTGCCACTTCTTGCACTCAAAAAAAAAAAAATTTTAAGGAGGAAATTGACACGTCCTGTGAAGTGCTGTACGAAAGGATGAAAAGCCTCGGTCCAAATGTGCCGGAATTGATCATTTTGCCCGTCTATGGTGCATTGCCAAGCGAGATGCAGACACGAATATTCGAGCCCGCTCCGGCTGGCAGTCGAAAAGTGGGGCTTTTTTTGAATCCGAAATTTTGTTTTAATGTTTTCTTAGATTTCCTAAAGCAGTAATCGTCTTTTTTCAAACTTGCTTTCTTTAATGGTATTTTGGACTACGTCCAGAGTTCTGTTCCGTCTCATGTAACGTGGAAAATGATTTCTCTTGAAGAAATTGGTGTTTTTTAGCTGTTTTTTGATAGGTGTCAGGCCAACAACAACGTCTCTTTCATTTATCAGATCCAACAAATTACTCCTCGGAAAGTGGCGAGGAGCAGACGGTTTCTCCTATGCGCAATGAAACAGAACTTTCTAGATTACTAATTTTTAGGTGGTTATTGCTACAAATATCGCGGAAACTTCGCTAACTATCGATGGAATTTACTATGTGGTTGATCCAGGTTTTGTAAAACAAAAAATATACAATCCGAAGAGCGGAATGGACTCGTTGGTGGTTACACCAATTTCACAAGCTCAGGCTAAACAAAGGGCCGGGCGTGCTGGACGTACTGGACCCGGCAAATGTTATCGACTTTATACAGAGAGAGCATACAGGTAATCACTCGTTTGTACTGTATCCTATTCATTAATACAGTAGCTTGATATGTAAGAGTCTGTCATCTTTGCCATTGTTTGAACTGTCGGTGTGGAGCTGTAATGTTATTCAAGGTGCGCTCACACACCAGGCCTTTACAGTTTGTAACTGCTAGCCCATTAATTATTCCTGCATATTATAACATTTAAAATCCTAATAATTATAATAGACTTGTTGTGGGCTTGAGTGGATGGACTCTTTTTTTTGTATTCTCATAATTTGCTGGATGTGGACAGTGGGTCCAGCTGGGCTGTTGGAGCTGTAAGATAATTAACTTCTGTGGATAGTATACCCGTTTGTCATGACAGGCACCTGTCTCTGATAGAATATTTTTGAACATGTGGGCATTTGCCATAATAAAATATGTGTTGATATTATAACACGGAAATATAAAAAGTTGCAAACTGCTAATTTTGAAGGCTCAGTTTGCTGTGACTGGAAATGAGCTGCCAAACCTGTGTCTGCAGTTCACAGCTGTATATGATTTGATGAATGTATCAAGAGCCAAGCGGATGTTAATCATTCACAGTTTTGTAGCTTTAGCAGCATTGTTTAGGCATAAAGTCATAATTCATCATTTGGTAAAAACAAAACTTTTTGGTAAAAAATACCTCATCTTTCACTACCTCATTTTTTGATCTCGTCTTTCTAATATTACATTTTTTGTCCTTTCACCCACTG